TTTCAACGCATTCCTAATAATATTTTTTAATGATTTTAGATTCGTTTTTTATTCAAATATTTATAGATTGCTTGTAAGTACTTAATTAGAAAAGGACATCCAAGCATTCATATAATAAAGTGACAAGATATTTCTTTTATACATATAAACAAAATTTAGCTCGGCTGGAAAAGTTTAAGTGAATTCACGCGAACTTTACTGTAAATAATGCGAAGCGCTTCAACGATTTATGAAGTCCATTGATAATAAAGACTTCGCTCGCGTAAACATAATGAGGTAAAAAAAGTAATGCTATCAAATTTGTTATTATGCTTCCAAAAGTTCACTACTTTACATAAACCTTAACTTGGCAAATAGTTTGATATTTTAAATTTACTGACATTTAAAAATAAATTGATTATTTAAAATTGTTCTTGACGGGTAAATGTCATTTATACTATTGTTGATTACTTGAATAACAATTTAACTGACTAGAATCATTTATTTCTACATTACTAGGGACTAGAATTAAATTAATTTGATTTTTTAAATATTGTACGTCCAATAAAGACTGGTTGTAGTGATACTAATAGTAATAACTAATTAGTAATAAGATCTTTTATAACTCATGTTTCACATTAAAGATATTTGTTTTTGGATACATTTTTTATAGGATAGGGTGACAAACGAGCACACAGTCCACCTGATGGTAAGCGGTTGCTGTGGCCCATAGACATCTACATCTATCCTCGATTACAAATCAAAATGCAGATGCGTTGTCAACCGTGAGGACTAAGACGGAATGCTTCGTTTCCAGTAAAAAGGGTCTCCGGTTTAGGTATTTGAATTATATCCATAAATGCCGTTATTGAGTTAACTTAGTTTAACTTAATACAATTCACAGTTATTAAGCAGCAGTGGAAAGCGGAAAAGTAATTCTAAGGATAAGGTCCTACGTTCGACGAGGAGTGCAGCGTGATGCTATGACTGACACGCGCTTTTGTACCGGGGGTCTAGACTAAGAGCTCAGTGTAAAGGCGTTCCGTTCACGTCGTACATTGAGCGGTCGCCATTCAGAAAGGTGCGTTTGTCATGCACGCCGAATGGCCCGCCCCGCTGCACGCATGCCATTCGGTTTCAACACTTCGGTCTTATAGCAACACTATTTGGTAAGATAAGTGACAGAATCAGACGTTACTTTGCGGAAATCCATTATAATAAAGATATTAATAGTTATGTTGCAACCATCCGCTAATTAAATACAATGGGTGCGTTTGGCAGAAAAAAGCGCTAGCAAGCGCTTATAAGCGCTAAAATAGTTTTCGGCCAGGACACGATTGCTACTTCAGTAGCGCTGACACAATCCGCCATTTTGCTTATTTAATTTGTTTGTTTTGAAGTAGAGTTTATAAGTTGTTTTGTGCAATATTAGTTTTAAGTAATATAATGACATGAATAAACATATACATGCTATTAAAAACTCATGATTGGTAAGTTTTTAATATGCATACTTTACAAACATATATTTAAATTAGGTTAGATTCCCCCGGTTAAAACTAACATCGTGTCCTGGAGGAAAATAGCTACTTACGATTTGACAGCCCTTTCCGATTACGATCGCCATTTTGCTTACAAGCGCTTGCTAGCGCTTTTTTCTGCCGAACGCACCCAATGATGTGTCTTACCTGGATTCCCCCAATTCCCGCGGAAAAGAGGTGCTCTTCAATCTAGGTAAGACACGTCATTGTATTTAATTAGCGGATGGTTGCAACATAACTATTAATATCTTTACTATTTGGTAAACTAAAAGAAGAATCTGTGACGAAGGAGAGATGATATATGAGGATAGCCTCGGCTTAGGGACTTAACCTTAGCCGAGGCACCGGTCTACGCGTTCGCATCTTTGGTTCGCATATTTTCCATGGGACTTCTTTGCTGAAACAGGCTGTTTTTTAAACCTAAGATTCATTATACTACTTGTTTGTAATAAAACTGTTATAGTCGCACTTAGTCCTTTCGTAAATGTTTTGAGTGCGAGGTAATACTAACACAACCAAACACTCTCAAAAGAACTAACAGAATTCGAAACACTGAAACTAACAGATGCGTTCATTGTTTGGGGGTGAACAGTTGCCAAGCAGTAGGAAGAATGGTGGTAGATATTATTACGAAGATGACCCCTAAAGTTCGTTCGTTGGCTTTTAAAACTTCGTCATGAGAGAATTGTACGTTAATGCATGCGTACACACCACTATTTTCATTACAGTCACCCATAACAAGTCACCTGTTGAACAATGGCACTCTCCATTTTTAGGAGTGCTTAAAAATCTAGTTCTAATCTAGTACTACTATCGGTTTCCTTCATGTCTTACCATGTCATAACTTCATATATAATCTGCCATTCGAGAATTTTTTTTTCACTAAACGAATAGAACGATCGTGGGCTTAGTTTCAAATAAATCTTTTAATTTTTAACGTTTCTTAATAATGCGTATTCAAGAACATTATTACTCTCTTCATAATATATTTTTACTATGCTTAACAAAGTTTTGATACAAAATATATTAAATAGTTGGAAAACAACCTTAACACGAAATTGCAATAGAATTCGTCACTATGAAATTATATATTTCATTTCGCTGTATTGGAAAGGGGAAGAAGCGAAAAATGCCTGAAAATAATATGAGGGATATGTTAAAAGAATTTGACTTAAAATGGTCAATCATGAAATGAAATACCCAGATCAATAACAGTAGGTAGTGTAAGATGAGCAGAATATAAGACAGTTAATGAAAATTCGCCTACCATAGGTGGCGATTTTATTTTTTCAATTTCAAAAACTTTTCAAATGTTCAATTCGGAAAGTCTAAGTACCTATTAATAAGTCAGTTGTCGATGAATACATAATTTTAAATTAAAGATTTTTTTATTAGTTTATTACAACGTAATTAATCAATAATTTTACGAAAGTGGATGAAATATTATATTAATAATTATATATCATGACTGCGTAAAATAATTAAATAATTTTAATTTCCAAAAAATATTATCAACAGAATGTTGTATTTACAACATTGGCACAAAATCTGTTGTCCAAACATACAGGCCTATACCTGGAACGATTGGATGTAAAAATCAAACGATTGTCTTAGATGTTTTAATAACATAACTCCAGCGCGCCACTTTACCGTATTTTAAATAGAATCTAATAAGAACGAGATTCTTGGCTCGAATGCAATGATCGTTTATGATTTCGTTTTCGTTTTTTTTTCCTTAGCTCCAAGTTTGAGTTGGGAGAGTGGAGGCACGGTTCAAACGGTGCGTGCGGCAGGCGGTGCATCGAACGCGGTGAGAGCGGGGTCGACGAACTTAGCGCCATGTGCATTCGGTTTTCAACTGTTTTACACACGATAATATACGTAGCATACAACTGGACGGACGCCTATTGATGTAAACAAATCGGCTGGTTAGATATTGCGACATCGTAATTGCGGAAGTGCTACGTGACAAACACTGTTCATTAATACAAGAGTACACTGGACTGAAAGAGTTTATTTTGATCTATTAAATATGCAAATACTATAAATTCGTAATTATGAACAAACTGATATCTAGTGTCTAAATAACTTCCCATTTACTTTTTTAAAAAGCATAGGTCCAAAATAGTTCAGTAAGTTTCACAGGACAACCATCTTAAATAACTGCCATTCCAATATTATTCCTTTACATTTTTTTGAGATAAAACCAGACTTATTTTGAATTTGTAGCTTGGAATATTTTAAATACTCCAAGATGCCACTAGATCGAATGACGACGCGATAAAGCATTCAGGTAATCGATGGAAAAAACTCAGGGCCGTGTTTTATGGAATACAGAGCTGAGGGAGGCCTATGTTCTGAAGAGCTGCCATAATGATGATGATCATGTTGATAGCCTATAAATATAAGCTATATCAGAAAATGTTCGTAATTTTTTACATCGTGCTTGTAGGTAAATTCATCAAATTTTATATTTATCATTATATTATATGCCTTGGTGTTGTCGTCTCTGTCTATTTTAATTTTTCTTTTTAAGTAGCCATAGCAGCTGTACACGAGTGAATAAAGTCTACTTTACTCAATCCTGATACCATTAATAAAATTTGGAGTAACAATTAAATGAAAAATTATACTATCGTACTCTCGTTGGTAATTGTAAAATGAGAACAAACATTGTCCCCTGAATCGGACATTTTAAAGTGCCTAGTAAAGGTTCGTAGACAGTGTCCTTACTTGTAAACCGCATTTCTTGCCTTATAATGACAATGTTGATAATGTTTATAAACACAAGAATTAGGAATTTCCGAGTTGAAGTTGTAACTAAGTACGGATAAATCCTTCGATTTATGCTGCATTATTGGATAGGTCTAAATCCAGCAGTGGATTTAGCAAGGCTGTGATTGTGAACTAACTGGCATAAACCTGAAGTTATGAAAAGTATAAACTTTAAATAATCATGTTTGTAATAATAATTGTAGGTTTTTGTGAATATGTATAAAATGAAAAATTAAATTAATACAAATGTGATGGACTTATTTTTGTTGTAGACTGTAAATTCTCTGTCAAAGTTGATAACTCTCAATATATCATTTACGCAGTTGTATAAGTCTATGCATTTACTTGTCACTCCCATAAATGACTTGACACTTATAGAGTTCTATCATAAAATGCCAAAAATTCAAAGAAGAATGCTATAGCCATTATATATTTTAAATCTCTTGCAACACATTTCATCATGTGAGATTAAATTTAACCTGTTCGAAGGGAAGAAAAGGTAACTTGGCAGTATTTCTCGATATTCAAGATTGGCTTTTGTACCCATTTATTCTAAACATCAAGAAGGTTGTGTGAAACTTATAAATCATATAGTCGTGAAGAAAGGAAATTCATTTATATAGTTTAGGGGTAACGTTAGGCTAAATTATGAATTAAACCCTTACTTAATACAATCTTTGAAACTTCTGACATAACATTAAGCTTTACCTGGAGCTCCTTATTCTTGTTATCTTTGAGTGAAGCTGCTCTGATAATACCAGCTTTCCATCCCCATTCGGAAACTTTATTCACGTTATTTTTTGCCACACCACTCACAGAGAGAAATCGTTTGCCAACTAAATCTTCGCGGTATCTAAATGCCATAACGAACTACACATTCACATTATTCACTGCAAAAACTACACAATTGTCAAAAAAACACAACGCATAACACGTTCCACTCTTCGTAGAGCGAAGGGAAACTGGAAAAGGGAAACTACATTTGCACCGACGAGCAACACAAACACACAACCAAAGTACTCTGTGCAACGAACATTCAACAGCAACCCAACTTTCGAAACGGGTGTATCAAATCCTATGCTTAGTAGCGATCTGCTTGTATTTGTCATTTGTTCGGTTTATAATTTTTGCTTTACAATTCACACAATTTCATGAAGCATAAGTTTTCTTATAAGCTTCACTAGATGGAGAAATAATTAAAAGACAACATTCACGTAAGAGATGGCGCTGGACTAGAAAGTATAAAATGGATTAAAAATTACTGTCTTAATCTTTATTTGTTTTAAAATTATTTGTAAAATTATACTGCTTTTGAGAGATTAATTATATTTTACTGATTTAAATCTCTATACATTGGTAATAATATTTTTGTATGTTAAAATATCTTTTATTTTATAAATGCTCCAAGCATAATATTTACCACAAGGACATTAAATTATTAGTTGTTTAAAGTTCTAATACAACTTCTACTATTGTTCTTATGAAAATTGATTCTAATTTGAAAAAAAAAATCTTATATAAACAATTTAACAATACCTCAGAAAATAATAGTAGTTGCTTTTATTTATTCTGTGGTTGTAGTTTCTGAACGATATTGCTTTATTGATTACTGGGGTCACGTGATCAAAACACCAGTTCGTTCAATCATGGCGGACTAGTCTTATTTCTGAGCGGTTGTGTTTTGTCATGTTTACTTTTGTGGTTATTTTTGAGTGATTTTCTTATGTGATCATTAATATGATATCGTCGATAATTTCCCGATTGGTGATGTATGTATTATTTTTAATTTTATAAGTCATTTAAATGTTTTAACTGTTGTGACGTTTAATTTTATTTTTATAGTCAGATTTTTCTTTGTCTTTTGTCTTGTCTTACAAACCTCATTTATTTTAATCTATTTATTTTTTATTTTATAATGCTTTGAAGTTATTGATTTCCGTCCATTTTACCTTTATTTTTAAAAAGCTAGAAACTTCACGAAAAGAAAAACATTTGAAATAGTATTGACTTATCTATGAATTTCATTCACTTACGAATTTAATATTACACTTACGAATTAATAAGTATGATGAAATTACGCAGTAGTATAATAAGTCTGTGGATGAAATGGTTAATTTGTTTTTGCATTTTGTCTAGACCTATTTTTGATTATATATCTCGATCCATAAACAATTGTATTGAATTTGGTCTAACGAATTGTATATATGTCCATATTATATTTTCATAACTGACTGTAATTTGATTGGTGGAACACCTAGTCAGCATCAGACATGGTGACTTCCATTAAGACAAGCAAACGTTAACTAGGCAGGCAGGCAGTGTTACTGGTAAACAGTTAGTAGTGGAAAAATAGCATTTATATTTCCTCAGCCTTTTTAATTTCTTACTTGCTGACATGTAGTCTATTTTGAAATTTAAGTAAGGGTTGATTTTTAAGTTGATAAATATCCATAGAATAAATTCTAACCTGACTGACTGAAAAAAGTGAAATAATTGAACTGTTTTATTCATACAAATGTTTTAATTCATTTATGTTGTATATCCAAAGAAAGATTTTTAAAAAATCTATAAACATCATAATATTATGTGGTACCTTATCCAATAATATTTGAAAGTATTATATCTGTATTGTATTGTAATATTTATACATTTACTTTAAATATCAGTAATATAATTTTTTAATTTTTAAATAACTTATCTTGCTAATTATTAATGCCTCTTAGTATTTTACAATTATTTTTCAATATAATATTTATAATATTTTTGCTAACAACATACAACTTAACAGAAACACAGTTAATTAACAGACATGAGTGAATATTTCATTGAATATAAAGGTTGATAAGAAAAATATATCTCATATTATAATAATATAGTAGAGCCACGCAGCAGCTATATTATGGTGGTAGCATGAATGGGTCGGCTCGACTGGGAAGGACTATGCTCTCACAGAGTACCAGCTTAAAATAGCAGCTTAATACTGCTGTGTTTCCTATGGTGAGTGTTGAGGTCCGGACACCCTTTTTTACTAGAAATGAGGCATTCCATCTTAGTCTTCAGAGGTGACAGCGTATCTGCAATTTGATTCTTAATCACGGGTAAATAGAGATCTCTATGAGCCACAACATCTATTTACCATCAGTTGGACTGTGTGCTCATTTGTCACCCTTCTTCTATAAAAAAAAGAAACTAGGTTGTGTAATAAAATAAATTTACTGGAGAACGCTTTTGTATGAAATGTTTTTCAATATCAACTTTTATTATTGAGTTTTCTTTATTCAGAGAAAGAAATTTCAAAACAGATTGTTCATATAAACCACTAAAAGGCCTGGTTGATAGAAAATCAGAAAATATAAATTCTTAAAAAAAACTTTTTTATATGTGGTAGAGCCATGTTGCAGCTATGAATGATCAGCTCAACCGGGGAAGGACCCACTCTCACAGAATAGCAGCATAAAATAGCAGCTCAATACTATTGATCTTCATATGGTGAATGTAGAGAACCGGAGACCCTTTTTACTGGATATGAAGCATTCCATCTTAGTCCTCAGGGCTAACAAAGCAACTACATTTTGATTCTTATTGGAGGATAGATGTCTATGGACTACAGCATCCACTTATTCTATAAAAAAGCTACTTAGACCATGTGGTCTGTTATGAGTCTAGCTACCACACTATGAATCTGAAGCTAAAAAATGAATAAAGTACCACCTCTAAAGTGTAGTAATTTGTGACATACAGTTTATAATTTTCTGGACAGGAAGTTTTGTGATTGTCTACATAGCTTTGGCACTGATTGTCTACATATGACTTCAGACAAAAAAGTTGTATTTGCGTGTGCAACACCTGCTACCTACTATGTACTATGCTAGTGCAGTTGAGAGATTGGGAAAAGTTGTCAGTTCAAATTGGGTATTGTCAATGAAATCATACAGATTTTTATAAAGGTTAGCTGCTTGTCTAGGTTAGCATTTAACTTTAAATTTTTATGGCCGTAACTGCTTGGCACGTAAAATGCCCCCATACTAAGTTTATTATTGTTATTTATATTCTTTTTTCCTGTCTCTACTAATAGATTAGGTTGCTTTGTAGCCAACTTATTTCATCATCGTCATCATCAGCTTGCGGCAGTCCACTGCTGGACATAGGTGTCTCCCAAGGCGCGCCACTTAGCCCAATGTTCGGTTACACGCATCCAGTTTCTACCGGCCATCTTGCGGAGATCGTCGCTCCATCTGGTCAGGGGCGTCCCGCACTACGTTTGCCTAGACGCCTACATATTTATAATAGTATATAACACCAAATAATTCAGTATTGCTTAATGGCGCTGTTTGCGGCGTAAAATAATCTATCTTCCTACTTCGTATCGTCAGTTTCGTAACGCTATGCGAAATATGGAAAAACCAAAGTAATTTTATGGCTTCCAATATTTGGCGGTATAACTATCCCGTTCACGACGGACAAAAAATAGTGACGGAGAGCAAAGTCAATGGCGTAGTGGTGCTTCGAACGTGAATCCATCTGCCAAGTGTGAAGGTTATTGCATATCCTCTTTATAACGGTAGAGGTCCATGTAAATTAGTGTGCTGATGATGATTGTGTGTAATAATTCTATTCATTTACGTGTTAGTATTTTGTCTCAAACAAGTTTTATGTACGTCACAAACTAGGTGCCGCTCGACGTATATTACTGGCGCAATGCCAGCTCTGAATATTTGGAATCAGTTGAAGATGAGATTTGGTAACTTTCTTAGAGTGTTAAAACCCTAAATATCTTTTTTCCATTCAGGCTTTGAGTTAATAACATAGAGCAAATGTGACGGTGTAATCACCGACGATTAATTGCGGGCGTAAACGCTCGTTTTCTTATGAAAAAATTGTTCTGAAATTAAATCTGTCTGAACGATTCGAACAAAGAAGTTGCCCAAGCTTGCTGTCCGTTGGGAGTTCATCATTAGGGTGGCCCAGTGCACTGCCGGGTGCTATTTTCGGTGAGGCTTGCCGCTGGCCGTTCGCCTTTTGGTTGCAGTTGAAGTTTTAGTCCGTGACGATCGCGGCTGCCGTTCTATGCAGCGAGTGAAGTGCGTTGACACTTAACTGTATTGTGATTCATTAATGTACATCGGTCTTCGCTCATTGTGGTTATAAGTGTCTGTTCCGAGTGTGTTCAATCAGCCTGCGCCATCTGGAGGTCGTACACCTTGACTCCAGCCTATTATGTACATATTGAGAGCGCTTGTCTTACCTTTTTAGGCGCAGCCTCGGCTCCGTAAGGCGTACCTTTACCCAGTTTTGCGAGTGACGTAGTTTACTAACATTTATAAATGTCTTCTCGGACCAAGCTCGATATAAGAATAACTATTTATTACGAAGACCATGTAGTTGTGATTTATATATAAACGGCGCTAACGAATGGTTTATAGTATATAACCACGAATTTTAAACGACTAATATGAATAAGATATAAAAATGTTGTATTTATTTCATTTTTGCTTACTCCATATAGAATTCACAATCATCTGATTGTGAATTCTATATGGAGAGCTAAGTGTTTTTTTAGAAATTTAATAATAATATGAAAAGTACACCTTTTCTTTGTTTTATTTTAAAATATTACCCTCACGGTAGGATTTTTTCCTGTATCGTGGATGCGGTTTAAATAAAATAGCATTAAATTGCATAAGGACACTCCCATATTCCACGCACACATGGATACTCGTAGGGTAACTTTTATTTAAAAATAAAACAACGAAACTAATTTCTTTATAAATGTATTATAGTCGTCCCTAAAAACCAATAAGTATCGCCGAAACATCGTTTCAGCGACCGTTATGTAGGTTAAACTACGAAAATAACTCCGTTGCATCATGTTTAATTATTTATTTGCTCGCTTGCTATGAATTTCAAAGCATACGCTGGTATATGTAAAATTATTGTAAGAAGCCCTTTTTCATTTAAATTATTTTATTAGCCGACTTAAAAAATGTAGATTCTCAATTCGAATATCGAAAAAAATAGAAAATAAAACCTTTCTGTATGTATGACGATAGCCAATTTTTAATGATGAACCGATTATATTTTGATTTTTTTATATTAAATAGACCATATCTAAAAGGTGGTTTCCATTTATATTACAAGAAAAGAATCCACCCCTTAGGATGGAAACATAGGGAATGATTTTTTACGTACTGTTTATAACAGTAAATATGTTAAAACGCATTAAACATAGCTTTTTTTAATGATTTTGAGCTTTTGTTAACCCAATGACATTAATGTTATTTGAAACGTATATAGTTAGCAGTAAGAATAGCATTTTTAGATTTGTGATTTTTTACTCCTGGCTACTTGAATAAAACAAATATCACGTATTTTATCGCGTTTAATTTAACTTTTTAATTCCCGACGTTTAGAGCGCCGTAAAGCGCTCTAAACCCATGGTCACTGAGGGGACTGAGGTGTTTGACGTCCTGATGTCCTAATTAACGAAGGCTACCTTTAAAATATTAATTTTGGTCCAGTATACGCATCTTACAATATCTTGCAGAACTATGCTTGGGTTTCGTTTACTTTTATTAATTATGCGTTTTGCTGGTAGCACTCAGCCATCTTCTCTATTGAAATAGGATATTTTTCAACCGTTTTCAAAAAAATGAGGTTCTTCCTCAGAACTTTTATTTTGGTGAACTGATTTTGATGATTCATTTTTAATTGAAAAGCTGGTGCCTCTCATGTGGTTCCATATAAATTTGATCAAGATCTGACCAGTAGT